GGAGCACCTTGCATTTCTCTGCATTGAATGCCATCAGGTTTTCATCTGCCCACCTTGCAAGCCTATCAAGGTCAGCCTGGATAAATGTGGATACTTTTCCCCAAAGTTTGGCGTCATCAGTGAATTTAGCCAGTCCGCTTTGGACACCAGAATCCAAATCATTTATAAAGACATTAAAGAGTACAGGTCCAAGAACAGAGCCTTGGGGGACACCATTGGTCACTGAGTGCAATGTTGATTTGGTTCCATCAACTACCATTGTCTGGGTCCAACCTTGGAGCCAGTTCCCCACCTATCGGACTGTAGTGTAGTTGAGGCTGCAGTAGCCCAATTTTTCCATGAGGACTTCATGGGACACCAGGTCAATGGGATTTTTAAAGTCCAAATACATGATATCAAACTGTTCCCTTTTGTCCAAGTGATACGTCACTTGCATTGGCGATGCATAGCGGGTGCACATGGGTGCATGTGCACCCGAGATTGGTGGTGCGCCCCGAAAGAAGCACCACCGATGCTGCTGGTGGCACCTGCAGGCGGGTGCTACTCACCCCCCCCGGCCGTTGACACTGCCAGCAGCATCTGCAGCCAGTTGCTGATTGCCGCTGGCCACCACTGCCAGTGGCATCTGTGGGTTGTCACCAACCACTAGTCAGCACTCTCCATCCCCACCACCACTGATACCACTACAGCCGCCTGAGGGAGCTCCCCACTTGTTGCCGCCTGTGGGCAGTTGCTGTGCCCCCACCCCCCCCAGCCTCCAAGGGCATGTGTCGTTTATGTTTTCCTGGTCATAGAAGGAAATGAGATTGGTCAGGCAAGACCTATCTGCAACAAACCCATGCTGGCTGTCCCTCAGAATGTTGCCTTCTGCTAGCCTGTTGAGAATGGTTTATTTGATAATTTTTTCCAAGATCTTCCCAGGGATTGAAGTCAAACTGTTTGGCCTGTAGTTTCCCAGATCTTCTTTCCTCCCTTTCTTGAAGATAGGCAACACGCTGGCCCTCTTCCAATCTTCAGGTACTTCACCTGAGCGCCACAAGTTCTCGAATATCCTTGCCAGTGGCTCCGCTATGTCTACTCATTCCTTTAGCACTCTTGGGTGCAGTCTATCCAGACCAGCTGATTTATGAGTGTCCAGCCTCGCAAGATCTACACCAATGGTGGACATATATTCATCCTCACCCTGGTCATTCCGCATCTTGTTAGGCAGGGTGAAAAAAATACAAGCTTGAACATGCTGTAAAGGCTGCCAAGGGCTCTGCTTCTCTTCCTTCTCTCTGGACAGCCATTGTTCATCAGGGCAGAGTCCAGTTTAAACCTTCTCACAGCTGCTGTTGAATTGACAGGTTTTTGGTTAAGTAGTCGAAAGCTGCTGGCAAGTCAACAGTGGCTATGGGGGGTAAAAATTCCAGCTTTGGCCTGAAGCAGCCAATGAGTTGGCTGAGGGTGAATGCATCACTTTATTCAGTCATCTTTCAACCATGACTTTGAAAAAATCTTTTTTCTTCATTTCTTTCTTCCCAAAATAAGGCGCATGTCTTACTTGGGGGCAGGAGTATGTGAGAAAATATATTATGCCTTTGGTGATATTGCAGGGTGTCACGTCTGGGGTCCCCAGGGATGGCTGCAAGACTCCTAGGGCCCCTTGACTGTGCCAATTCGACCCAATGGGCACCCTCTTTCTTGCCCACCACGCCTTGTTGGTAATAATTATGAATAGGGAGGCTGCCCTCAAGTTTACCCACACTGGGGTAGTGGGACCCCAGTGAGGCCTCCTCCTTCCCCAATAGCCTCAGCCCAGTCCACCAGCTTACAAACCGAAATCAAAATACAAGCCCCTGGGCTATACCATAATGCAAGCAGCTCAGGGTGTGCTCTGTCCCTTTAAATGAATCTCTCTTCCCCCAACACAACATGCCTTGTAGGCCAGGGTCTGGTGACTCCTGAAATCCCTTAACCTTATCAGCAGCAGGAGAATGGCTGAAAAGCGTCGTCCTTTCGCTTGCCCTAGGAGACCTCCTTACCCTTTAGCTGCTGGCAGAGAACTGACCCTCTTTTACCAGTCCTGGGGTTTGTATATGCCCCAGGCCCTGCCTCTGCCAGTCAGCTGACCGCCTGCAGGTGCGGCTAATGCCTTCATTCC